TCTCTATGAGAATGAAGATGCAAAGAAATCCTTGCTCTTTACAACCAGTTTGGGTCAAGTTCAGATTTTGAAGTTGTATGGCTCCTATCTTGGTGTGAAGAGAAAAACATACAAAGGATATTTGATGTTGCTTAAACTCAAGCTCATAGATATATTAACATTTACTGAGTACATTTAAAAAAATCCCACCAGATAAAATTAAGTGTGCAAAATCAGCCCTCTGGTGATGTTATTCCCAATTCTGTCAGTTAACTTGATATGGGATAAAAGGTAAATAGGTATTTCAGCATAATACAGTAAGATGCTTCAATTTCTTTTGAGAACATGACATCTGAGCAGACCCATTTTTAGGGGAATACTAAATAAAAAGCAAGATGACAGCTTTCTAGGTCAGGAACTGTTAGACCTTCATTATTTTAAACAGCTTGGAGCACTGCAATATTTAGCCAATGTGTGTGTGCCTGTGTGCTTTTCTAGAAAATTTTACAACAGGGGTTTGTAATGTTCCAAGGCCATGCTTTGGCAATAAAAAATAATGCCTCATTTATAAAGTTCAGGAACTCAGGGGTTTTATTCTCCTGGATGTAACTTCAATTGCATTTTATTTAAAGCACAAGGATACTTTAAGAACTGCATTTAGTCAGCTGTTGACTAATGGCTCTTAGCTCTTCATGAAGCAGATAATGGCTTTGCATAGAATATCAAACTCAACAGAAACAATCACAGTAATGGAAGAAGAATTCTTTGTTATAGAGTTACATGAAAGGAAACACTGACAAAACAGAAAGCTTTCTAAGGAAAACAGCATCAGGTTTTGATGAATACTACCTCTTTTGATGTGCCTACTACTTTTTCTCTTCTCTGTAATTGCTTTTGAAAGGTTTGTTAAGGAATTTCTGATGATTTTTGATAGCTGAAACATAAAGCACTTAATGGGAACTAGAAAGCCATTTAAAGGTTTGTAATAAATTCATATATTGCCACTATATTTCCTCTTAGATTGTAATGTCTCTTTTGTACTCCAGATGCCATCTCAAAAAATAAACTTCGTACAGAGCATATGGATCAAATTTTAGCCAGAAGGGAAAAATTGTTGACTTGGCACTAGGTACTTGTGACCCACAGAGTACCTTTACAGCCAGCCAAATCATCAATTTCTTTTTCTGCTAGGCAGTGGCAGCTCTGACTCCTGAAGAACACCTTTGCATGTGAAGCCTGGGTAACTTAACTCTGGCAATGATGAATGGGTACTGCAACTGACTGTAACTTTGAAAATTCAGTGCTCAGCATTGGAACTGCAGCAAACTTATTCCTGAAAAATAGATGGCATGACTGAAATGATGTGGAATACTATGGAATTATTTAATGGCTCCCTACTTTAGCGAAGTCCTTGAATTGAGTAAGTCAAACTAGAAATGACCTATCAAAAAATGCACACTGTTCTCTTGAAGAAAAGAGCGAAGGGTGAGAAACCCAACAACATATGATGATAAGAAACAGGGAGCTCAGATATCACAGGCACAGACGCAGGATAAGAACTGAATAGAATGTGGTCACAAGCATCTTAAAATTAGCTCTGTTCTTTTGGATCCTTCTCCTTGTTTTTTGGGAATCTTGTTTTGTGAGGCAAATATATTTTTAAATTGGGATACTTTTCATTTTTTGATGTCTGTGTGCAATTTTTTTCAGTCACTTCTGCTCTTGCAGTTCACTGCTGAGTGTTCAGTTGATGTGCACACTGTATACTGCTCCTGAAAGAAAAATACACACGAATCCAGGACCATAGTGAAGAGCAATACATAGACTATATTTTATTAAAGTAATTTAGTGTTCAGTTGCTCATACAAAAAGGTTGCTGAAAGTAACAAAAATTCAGGCATGCCTAAACCAGTAATTTTAATCCAAGAGATTTTTTCCTTTGGTTTTAAGATGAAAGCTAATTTTAAAAGACTGTTTTAATACCAGTTTCAAAAACTTAGAAGATCTTAATTACATTTTTTAAATATTTTTCTCCTAACAACTAAGAGGACAGCAGGCACATATCCAGCTTTCTGTGCTTATTTGCAAATCACATGTATTTATTGATTGCTGTCTTGGTGTGGCTTGTTTTAAATCTAGCAACAGTTTTTGCGGTTTTTTGGGGAAAAAAAGAGAAAAGAGTGCTATCAGTGAAGTTCCTTTTCCTATAATACCGTGTCACTCAGCCTGTGCTCTCTGCAGGAGACACATGAACTCCCATATTTTAGCACTCAGAAGGCTTTACTGTCACGGAACTGCTGAAGACCTTCAGCTAGGTAACAGTAGCATGAAGCTCTTGGTAAGGAACAGTCTTTGTGTCTCCCTAAAATACCTAATCCACATCAAAGGATAACCTGTCACTTAAGTCTCATGGGAGCTGTGGGGTTACAAGACATGTCTGTTTAGAAAGCTAATTCTGCATTTGGCCTTGGAAGCTTTCCCAGCTGCAGCAGGACTGCTATTGTGTCTCCCAAGCCAACTGGAAAATCTAGATTAGACGTCGGGGTGAGAATTAAGAGAAGGAAAAATGGTCTAGGGAAAAAGGAAGCAACAATGACAACAGACAAAAAAAAAATCCAGCATTCTTGGTTAATACTCAAAAGTCACCTGGACATAGTGCTGGGTAACGAGCTGTGAGTCTGCAGTAGCAGGGGGCTTAGACCAGTCCCTTCTAACCTCAATCATTCTGTGATTCAGCGGGAGGAAAGAAAAAACCAACCAAAACACAGAAATCCTCAAAACTCTGATGTTTTAACAATTAGATCTTGGCATCTATCTAATTGTACAATATGCAACCATAGACAGCTATGCTATATTTAAAACCTCTTTTAATAAATTCTCTTTTCTATTCATATTGCTGACAGTCTTGTTTCTTTTCTTCAGTCCTCTTCCTGGTCTACACAGAGCAGTGACAGTTTGCAGGTTCTGATATGTCCATGTCCCAGCAGGTCTGGAAGTGCTGCTACTTTGAGAAGTCAGTCTGTGCAGGGCTATAGAAACATATGTTCTCATTTTTGCATCATGGGAGGGGGCATAATTTTACAAAGTTATTTATTGGAGCAGTCTGGGTTCTGGCAAGATTTATGAAATTTCACAAATATCCTCATCTGATGGAAATCATTAGGCCACTGTAGAGAACCTGCATCACTGCCAATTACCTTATGAGTGTATGATCCTCATTAGGCTGATTAAACTAGCTTAGCACCATATTATTTAAGTGGCACCAGGCAGTACTTTGTGGAAGAAGATACGCTAAAATTCTGAGCTGATATGAATTTTTGAAGACTACCCACTAAGAATCCAAATAAAAAAATGTGCCATTTTTAAGTGACTACTATGGAAACAAACACTGCCTCAGTAAGACTGGGATGAACACATTACAGCAAACCATTAAAGAATTCTACAGGCTATTGCTTACACTACAGGATGTGCTGCAAGCTCTTTATAATACACTTACACCTGACCTCCTTCTAGGTAGAAGCTTGAGGTTTAGGTCAGTACGGAGGACTTTGAAGTCAAACAACAGGCAATGGCTACGGGAGCGGAACTCAGGATCTTTTGACTTCTGACAAAATTAATTCTTTTCTTTAGCGGTTTCTGAATCAGGAGACGCTTGTACTCTTGCATTTGCAGAACACTGCTTGATTGGGAACAGGCAGCCTGATTCAGCAGATGTGCTGAATGTTCCCAATAGTCTTCAAAGCTGTTTTGTCTCTTTAAAAAAAATCCTTATTAAAAAAAAAGTAATTTTTTTTTTACCAAACAGGTTAATGTTAGCGCAGAAGAATCAATTATTGCAGAAGAATAGAAGTGTCAAACCCCAAGAAGCATGTTTTTGTTTGTTCTTCTCTAAATCGGGAGAGAAAAAAAGCTGGTTATGATCCTGCTTCCAGAAATGGTGAGATACTAACTACTTGAAGACAGGATAAATACTGATTCTTTGATGTAGCCATTAACTCACTACTCTCTGAAGCCAGCTGAGTATTTCCTATTTGCTCCTTCGCGTTTTGGCCGAGCGCCCTTGGCTGCTTGCTGGAACTCAACACAACCTGCGACCAGGATGCACCTACATAGCTACTCCAATTATTCCATTAAGATGCTCATTGCACCTAATTGGGAATTTTATTGGCATCGTAAGAAAGGTAGCATTTTAAGATTTAAAGGTAATTTAAACAGAAATGAAGGAAAAGCGCTAGCTGTAGTCCTTGCATCCCCCTTCCCTGCTAGCAGCGCGACTCGTTCCACTCCTCCGCGACCTTCCCCCAGCTGAAGTTTTCGCGTGCCGCTCAGGTGCCTGACGCGGGGCGGCCCGCGGCGCTCACCCCACCCGGGGCACCGGAGCCAGGTGGGGGCCCCGCACACGCCGGCAGGGAGGGGGGGCCGCGGCTCTGCCGGGGGCAAGCCCGTCCCCGGGCGGGCAGGGGAGCGGCGGAGGCAGAGCAGCCCCCGCCTCCCGCCCGCTCTCCTCCCCCTTCCCCCGCTCCCGCCTTTTGTGCGCCGAGCCCGGGCGTCAACGGGCGCCGGCGGCCGCGGAGCTGACAGGAGCCCGCGGCTATCGGCCTCGGCAGCGGCGCTGTGGCGAGGGCGGCAGCCGCGGCCGCTCCCGTCACCAAGGCGCTGCCTGGCACAGAAAACACAGAGAGACGGACTGACAGACACACGCAGCACGGAGCGGCGCGGGCTCGGGGGCCGCCTTTGCAGCTCCTCTCCTCCCTGCACCATGCTCCGCTCCAGGCAGCGCCCGCCCGCTGCTCCCTAAGGGCAGCCAGCCCCGCGCCCGGCTAAGCGGGCGACTGGCACCCGGCTCCTTTCCCCCGCCCCCAGTTACCTGAGTTAGCTCCGTCCCGGGGACTTTGGCAGCGCCTCCGCCCTCTCCCGCTGTGGCAGCCCTTGTGCGGCGGGGGAGTGAGCCGCCAGCAGCCGGAGGGAGTGCAGCCGCCGCCGGGGGAGACGAGCTTAAGCCCCCGCCCCCGGAGCTCTTCATGGCGTCTCACCAGCAGACTAGGATCCAAGCCTACCTGGAGAAGAATAAGATCGGTCCCCTTTTCGAGGTAAGGTGCGCTCCTGCCGGCCGGCTCCTCCGCGGCGGGCAGCGGTGAGGGCGGGGGTGTCACCGCTCAGCCCAGGTTAACGCAGGGGCGAGGATGAGTTTGAGGTGCTGCTTCGGCAGCTGCTTCGCCCTGTCCTGCCGCCCCGCACCACGCGTGTGCCCTCATGTCCCTCCCTCCACGCCCCTCCGGAGCTCCGCGCACCTGTCCCTTCCCGGCCATCCCGAGGATGTGCCCCGCTCCTTTGCCCCGCCACGGACGCGCCGCCCTCTGCTCCGCGCGGGTCGTCAAACAGGTGCCCGCGGCCCGAATCCCCGGGGCCGCCCCCGCGGCGCTGCCACCTCGCCCCGGTGGCCGCGGGACAGCGCCCGGCCCCGCCGTCCGGCCGCGGGGAGCCGCGGACCGACCGCGCACCCGCCGTGCGCTGCGAGGGGAGGCGGCGCTTCCAAACCCGCCCGTCTCCAGGGCGGCAGCGCTGAGCAGCGGGCACCGGGCACCGAGCGCCGCACGGCCCGCGGGCGAGCCCCGAGGCGCTGCCCCTCCGTGACCGGCCAGCGGTGAGGGACAGGTGGGTGCCTCCCACCGGGAAACACACCCTCTGCATCGAACACTCGGAAAGAAGTCTGTCCTGCGAAAAGTCCGTGTCCATGGTGTTTTCTGAAATTTTCATCTGCAGTCACACACCGTGTTTTTGCTCTATTTTTCCGTTTTCTTACAACGATGCACTTGCAGGGATTTGTAGATGCAGAGATGTGCATATTTTACTATTTTAGTACATAAGCTGTGAATACTTAGAATTTGAAAGGGTACTAGAGCAATCGTGATTATTACCATTTTGTCATCCTGTTTCTCATGCAGTTTTAAATATCTAAATGCACATATATTATGCACTGCACTCTGGCAGTATTATCACGAGGCACAAGTCTCCCTTTTTCAGTATTTAACTTGCTCTCAATCAAGCTTACTGTGTGTGAAATCTCTTATTCTGGCGTGGTGGATACCTCGTCTTCAGTGTGTATTTTGCTACCCCCCCATAAGAAAGAGTCAAATTTTGCTAGAAAATTGTTCACGAATGGTCTGGCTTTATATTTTTTTGTGTGCATAGGCTGTTGAAATAGACTGCCGGTTCAGTGCTAGCAGTGTTAGATATTTTTATTTTGCAATATATAAAGCCCCATTTGATGGAACAGTAACAGGGTACTAGGGAACAGCAGGTGATTTTTCTAGTTAAAGAATTCATAAAAATGGAAACATTTGTGTGGTTCAATTCCTGAATAAAATTCTGTTCAATCAGTTATGTCCCGAGGTCTACATACATAACTGACTCTTGTTTATTTCAATGGGAATTCAGTGCTTTGGGGTTGTTCAAGAGTTAGGCCCTTGACAGCTCTCACTTTCTTCTAAATTTCCTTAACCCGTTGGTTTACACATTAAAATTCAAGCGAACCGCTTGACATCCCTGTTCTGAGTCACTGTGTTTTAACCTAGTTTCTCTGTAGTATAAGATGGTTGTCTCTGGATTCTTGTAGGATGTTTCAGTTATCAGTGGAGAGAAAGATTAAGAAGTTGTGTTTGTTTCTGCATTTCATGTATCACCACGTATTTCACTAATGTAGGAATTTCATTGTGATAGAAAGAATCTGTGAAAGGCTCTTTGCCAACGCTGCAGGCTGTCTACGGGTTCTCATTGCACTCCTCTATACTAGGAAAACTTTTTGGTGTGTAATCTACTTACACCTGAATACTAGTGACTGGTTTTAAGATCTAGGGGTATAGCATTCCTGCAGCTGTTTACAGTTATTTTAATCCATTACACTGAGGGGAGGAAGATCATCATTCTTATCTCTACTACTTCCTGATTGGCCATTTAAAATATACTTACATATTTAGTTTTTAATGTACTTTTTGTTCTCAACAGTTTATTGAAGATCTGCAACCTGTGCTTGATCTTGTAGTCCTTAGAAAAAGGAAGACAGGTATTTGAAGTTGATGAGAATTCATCAAAGACTATGTGAGGATGAATCTTGTATTCTATACTAGTATTCCTATTCGATGTGCTTTGTGGTGTTTCAAGAATACCATGTGTTCACAGTCAGATATAGTCACGAACACCTCAGTTTTTCACGTGTCTAAAAGTTCTGACACATTGCAAAAGGAGACCTGTGCTTTGTCTTTCATCCAGGAACAGCTAGCATTTTCTTGTACCACTTCTGCTTTGGATGCTAATTAACTATCACTTGTCATAGATGACAACCATCCTTATTTTTCAGGGAGTACTAAATTCCTAATACCAGCTCAGAGCAGAGTGGACTTGGATTCAGTTTTCTCCAGTGTTATTTGCTGAGCAACTTGTGACTGTAATTGCTCAATATATGTTTCAAGTCAACATTTTAGGGAGTACGTGGACTAATACTGGGTAGCTGAGGGCAGTCACAGGAAAGGAGGACAAGGAGAGAGGAACTGTGTGCTTTCTGAGATCAAGGCAGGGCTAGTGATGCATAAACAGATTGTATTTCATACTTGCATAATGAATAATAAGTGATTGGGGGACTTTACACCGTTGATTTTAGACAATTACAGAGGCACAAAATACTGATGGATGAAACAGCTGGTGGTGTACTGAAGGTGAAGTACAATTCCTCTGCATTACAGTTAAGAGCAGTAGTTGCTCTTGCTAGTAGGTCATTGTGTTCCGGTTGCTTGCAGTTATCCTGGTTATGTCTCTTTTCTCCATTCTGTCCTGTATTTGTGGCTTTCTGTTACAGTGGTTAGGGATTTTTGTACTTCATTAACCAGCAGTACCTACTTAAGAACATCTTTGCTGAAGTTTTGTGTGATATGACACTTGAATTATCTTCCTAATTTGTGTGAAAGAGAAGTGTTCAAGGTAAGTGCTGACACATGAGATATAGGAAGACCTTAGGCTCTGCCTTGGTTAGAAAGTTGTTTCCTTCTCTGTAAAGAAATGTGAGGAGTAACCTCCTGAGAAAGAATTAATGAGCTTAAGCTGACTCAGCAGGCATTGGTCTTCTACTGACTACCAGTATGTGTTAACACATAGTAGGAAGCCCTATGCACTCAGCTATGAATGGTTACTCAGCACAGATTGACTTGATTCCAAACATTTTTACAAGGTAAATTCTTACTTACAGGTTAGAGGTGGGAAGGAAGGTGGGCGGGAATTACTGTATGCATCTGAGACTATGTCAATTTTGAGATTTAAGACAGGTTGCAAAACAACTTTGATGCTTCAGCCTCATTTTTCCCTTTCGAATGTATGTCCCCAAGTCATGGCTTTTCAAAACTGTTACTTCTCTGACATTTCATCTTTCAGTTCCCCAAGATTTTTGCAGGTAAGATTCCTGTGAACCTATAGCTCAACTTCTAAATGCCCCAGGGCATGAAGGTGTTGTTAGTGCTGACAGTAAGTTAAGTAAGTCTTAAGTTAACCCCTTACATAATGTCAGGTTTCGTGAGAATCCTTATCCTGCTGTGTAGTTTTTTGTGTTGTGGGTTTCTTTTCTTTTTTCTTTTCTTTTTGAAAGCTGAGACATTTTTCTGTAAGAGAATGTTGGCATCAGAGAATACTGTGGTTAGACAACGAGTTTAGACTTGAGGAATGCCCTTTAGAAATGCCTCTTTTCTGGGATTTTTGTGGTAACACATACCATGGCACTACCTGATTTTTTAGATTTTTTTTTTCACATTAACTTGAAATGCAACAAGAATTCTAAATATGAATTATTTCCGTGATGAAGCTTCACTGTTGTTTCTTTTCCCGTCATTCTAAAATGTGAACAGGAGCTATGTGCCTGAAATTGGCTAGGACGGAGTATTCAGAATCAGCACCCACTCATTTCTGTCTGAGTGAAGTACTGACCCACTTTGCATTTCAAGCATCCAATCCAACAAGTTCTTTTTGTGTGCTAATAATCTCAATGAATAATCCTGCTGCCTGTATCCATACACCTATTCTTCTGTACAGCTGTATCTCTTAGCATCCAGTTGTGCTGTCATGTGGGCAACTTGACAGTTAGTTTCTGTGAATTTGAAAGCTGGATCAGCACACTTGAGAACAGATTGCAATAAATCTTCAAGAGCTCTGAGATAAATTTAGTGTTTTGGAATTTTTTTATTTCTAGAGCTGCAGCTAAAAAAGCATCCAGCAGGTACATTGTCATTATGCAAACCCAAGAACTGTAATTTCTTTGAGTTATAAAAGGCCAAAATAACTCTTCTCAAAGTAAACATGCCAAACCCCTGGTTACCTAAGATTTTTTATTCTCCAAGTAATGTGGGGTTAGGACTGTAATTTTTATTTCAGACAACATAAAGGCTTCATAATACCACCCTTAGTTTTGTTTTTTTGTTGTTGCTGTTTGTTTGGCAGACATAATTACCGAAGCAAATACAATGGGAAACTTTTTTTAAAAAAAATCTGTGATGATTTTTCTTTCCCTAAATGAAATAGCATTATTGGTGTATATTATGCCGTGGTGTCCTTTATTTAAATAAAATAACTACGCTTTTCACTAAACCTTAGTGAAAAGCTTCATTAAACCTTAGCCTGTTTGATGATGAACACTATCTACAGTGCATCTTCTGACTGACTTAAGTCAAAGTTTGGGGACGAATTTTGGAGTTTTGGACTGTCTTCTGAAACAAGGCTTACCCTTGGTTCTTAAATACACAAAGGTAGATACTGTAAACGTGAATGTCTAATTGACCAGTTCATCATTTCTCACAGTATAAAATTATGTTTTAAGCTGTAATATCTGCAATTTGAATTACAGAGATGTCCTCAAAGAATTGTTTTCTTTTGAGGTTGCTCAAAACCTCAAGATTTTGAGTATTTTGGTGACTTAATGGGTTAGGTTCTGTTGCTAGTGTGAAAGGGTCTGTATTATGGATTACACAAATGTATTTAGTGAAGGATTTGATTTCAAGGAGCTAGGTGGAGCCTTTGTAAGGCTGAGTTTTTCCGTACTTAGACATCACAAGGA